TCTCTGTGGTTCATATTTTATTCAAAAAATTTACTGCGCTGTTAATCATTGGAAATGTATCAAATTTATAGTAACAAAGAGGATATATTTAGTATAATCATATTACCACAAGAACCTGTTACATCTTGTCGGGTGGATAAGTCTCAAAGGGAACCCCCGTCTGTGAAACTATGTCGACGAGGGAAAGGACTTATATCATATTTGCAAGGTTAGTGATCAGTCGCAGAAACTGTAAAATGTGAACTACACCAACCGTTTAATGCGATACTTTAGAGCAGAGGTAATGGCTAATTAAATAATTGAAAGGAGAGCAAAATATTGCGGTCGAAGGATTGAGTATTATATCACGATTGACGACAATGTGACAAAACTCAAAAACAGTGAGAACAGGCTATATCAATAGATTTCTTGATGAATATCAGTTTGATGAAATAAGCAATGGCAGTTTGTAAAATTTTCTCCAGCTCGGTCCCACGTGCAATATTGACATTTATCGAAAACGCGAAATAGTTGTAGAAAGCAAGATTTTATTTCGGACGTTCCGCTACAGAAATTAATATAATATACATGCTTCCGAATGGTATGCACAACCCAAAAGAACTTGGGCAACGAGGCCTTTTGTAAACCATTTCATTATCATAATTACAATAAAATAAAAACATAAGCCGCGGTATAGCGACTGCTCTGGTAATATTATCCTGATACAGGATGAAAATGAAGTGCTTATTGTAGGAATAATAATCTCAACGAGATTGTTCCAGAAGCCTCATTGATCTCTGAATCGCGATAGCTGTATCCTGTGTACATATTAGTACATATTAGGTGTCTATTAAAAGTAGGTATTTTGAGGAATATGTGCATCAATTGAATTATTGATATATCATTAAATTACACGGCTACGTGTATGAAGATCGCTTGGAATATTTCACCCACGTTGTCTTTTATTTTGACCAGTGAGTAATTTCGTTCTTTTTATATAGATATGTTGGGGGGATCTGTTGTAACTTATATAATATTAAATTCACCCCAGGAAACATGACGGAAAAAATTTTATCTTTGCAATCGCTGAAATAAAAAATAAATAATTATCCGTTTGTGCTTCTCAAATGATTTGCTGAACACTTGCGTCCCTTTTCTGGCTAATGTTTAACTTATTGTTTGAACTGCTTTTTATTGTGGAATCGTAAATGACACAGCCTGGTAGAACTGTATCATCTTGTGAACAGAATATGTTGCAAGTAAACAACATACACAATCTAAGGATAAGAAAATCCATTCCAGTTTTATAATTTCTGGATTTTGAAATTAGGCGTTGCACTTTCTGATATAAGGATTCAAGATGAATTGTAGCTTATACCGCCGAATGTTCCAACTCGCAGGGGGCGTTTCTTGTTGCCAATTTGACTTTCGACAGTATCACAATTCACAACGGTTAATACTAATAGGACTTTTATGAACACTATACTATGGCTGTTTTCGTTCGTACCTTTTACAGTTGTGTTCGGCATAGTTCGTTGAGTATTATATTACAGGTTTCATTGTTCTACAATAATGAATGTTATATCTGTTTCTAGTTTCCTTTGACTGCCGCATTCGCGTTCGATAGATGAAGACTGTATGTCGTTTAAACGCTGAACTGTATATATGCGTCATCCATCCTTTATTTCCGACTTGTGGCTTCAGAATTTACAGAAAACGCAAAAACATCGCCCACGACCCAGTGATACAGGGTTGATGTTGAAAAGTATTATAATGCCGATCATGTGCTGCCATACCTGGGCTGTTTACATCTAACACCCATATACCGCTGTTTTGAAAATTCACTTTGCTTAGTTCATTTTAGTATTAGATCTTCATTTTACTGAACGAATGTAGGAGGTGCGCGGTGTTCCGGAATAAAGTATATCTAAACTTGAATTTAAATTACTGTAATTCTAAATTTCATTTAATAAACGATTCAGAAACTTTTCGCATAGGATATACCAAATAATTTTGTTATGTATGTAACTGAAAATTGTTATGTTTTAGTTGCTTGAGAGAGACAGCTGTTTATTGGATGATCCAGCAGTAATGAAGCCTAGAACGTGTAGTTTATTAGGACTGTTATTGTAGACGTAATGGACAATTCATACTACACACGGATGTATCGGGGTGGTCGGAGGAGTAGCACAGAAACGTACACATCCAGCAGTGAAACAAATTCCGAGTCATCCGACTATGAGTATCGAATAACGAAAAGGTTTGACGATATACGTAATTATTCCAGTTCAACATCATCCGACGAATCCAGCGATTGTAGTTCGTCCAGTTACGAGTACAGTTGGAGAGAAGCAAAGAAGAAATCTAAAGATTATGAATATGTATGGACAGAAGCTAAGGCGGTTATACCATCAATTACTGCAATACCATGTACGGTGGATATAAACGGCACAAAGTTACCAGCTGTCAAAGGAAGTCGCTACACATTAGTTCCATTAAAGGCCGTTCTTGTAGTAAGCCTGCTGTATTTATTGTGTTTGTTATGTTACTTAAACTAGTATCAGACATTGGCAACGACGATACATTTCTAATATGATTTTAGGTATCTTTTGGTGAACCACCAAGCTTCAATCCTACTTCTTGAACTCGCTATGTAACATTGCACAGTATTTGTCGGCCGTTTTATCTTCGTTAAATAAATAATATGTCGTAACACTTACCTGAAAATAGTTAATAATTGCCCAAATAAATAAGTTCTCTGTAAGAACGCATTCCCATTACGTTATTAAATTTATTAAGACCATCGCTAGAGAAGTTGTAATAGAAAAGTGTAGTTGGAACTTGGAAGCATCAAAATGAAGCACTTGCACTGTTTTATTTAACGTTATACTTGTATTATTATTATTTTTTAATTATCTCAATATTTTGTTTATTGTGAATTTCAGATTCTGTTCCCAAACAATACTCCGGATGATCTAGAAGAGGGTTTGAGGATTCTTGATATTCATCAGCTCACTAAATCTGAAGCCGGAAAAACTGACTGAATTTGTTAAATCTCTACATGAATTGGAACGCGTCGTTTACCGTGTGAAGAAATTTATGTTGCTAGTTTCTCTGCAGGAGAACCCGCCTGTGAACACAATTCATTGAAGGTAAGGTGGAAGCTGATTTCAGTTTATTTTTATGCACGGAAAACACACCTATCTTTGAGTTTTTTACAGGCGAAAATATACATCCATTTTGGACACATTGGTAACTTACTGCTACTGATTCGATAAAAGGATGCAATTCTGCCATAAAACTTCACATAAACCAATGAGTAATGATGAAGAAAAATCTGTACTACTGAAAGCGTGGAAATCGGACTAAGTTGAAGAAAAATTCACTAAATCGTGAAATGGCGAAGCAAGCCAGAGAACGGAGAATGACAGATGAGAGAACATCGCAGGAAAGCGAAGACACCTCAGACTCGCCGAATTCCGAAGCAAGCGATAGTGTTTGTTTAATTCGTTCATAAGATTCGGTAATAAAAGGGCCGAAGAAAATAGAAATTCGCAAAGAACGGATTGCTTGAAATAAAAGCAGCGTATACGCCTCAAAAACAGAAAGAGGTAGTTGTGTTGAAACATCTTTTTCCTGAAAATGAAGATGTTGAATCGGAGAGTGATGCGATTGCTTCCTCACACCTTGACGACGAAAAAGATCTGAAAACTTGCAAAACATCAACAGAGAAGCAAGATGATGACGTGAAGAGCCAAGGTCGAGACAAAAAAGAAACTTGCCAAAACATCAACAGAGAAAGCAAGATCATAATGTGAAGGGTCAAGTTCGAGACGAAAAGAAACTTGCAAAACATCAAAAGAGAAGCAAGATATTATGTGAAGGGTCAAGTTCGAGACGAAAAAGAAACTTGCAAAACATCAACAGAGAAGCAAGATCATTATGTGAAGGGCCAAGGTCGAGACGAAAAAGAAACTTGCAAAACATCAAGAGAGAAACAAGATCATTATGTGAAGGGTCAAGTTCGAGACGAAAAAGAAACTTGCAAAACATCAACAGAGAAGCAAGATCATTATGTGAAGGGCCAAGGTCGAGACGAAAAAGAAACTTGCAAAACATCAGGAGAGAAGCAAGATCATTATGTGAAGGGTCAAGTTCGAGACGAAAAAGAAACTTGCAAAACATCAACAGAGAAGCAAGATCATAACCTGGAGGACCAAGGTAAGATCTTATCAATGATATTTTAAATTTTTTGATGTTGTTTAATCGGAATCGTGTAAGATATACCGTTTAAAAGTCTGATAAACTAGTCTCTAACTATGGAACATTGGAAGACTGGATGCTTTGCAAATGTTGATGAAAACATTCGAATGAATTACAAATATTTATTATTCTATGTTGGACAGAGGTATTGAATGCGGATTCGAAAAGTTTATTCGTATTCTAAGCTAGTGTAAAATGAAGTACCCAACACGGGATATTTATTTCGTATAGTCGTGTTAAGGGCTTGCCTTGAACGCATAGTTGTAGATGTAAATAAAAACAATAAAATACATCAAAATTATATTAAATAGTTGGGTTTTACTCGTACCCTTGTACGAATTTACCAACAACTCAATATTGGAATGCTTCAGTCAACCGTGTTTATTAATATGTCACGGTAATAAGTTTTTGGAAAATGCTGTCAGCATATACTTTCAGTTGGGGAAGAAGACATGGACACCTGGACTTCTTTACTGCTGAGACATAAAAATTCATCGCAGTGTTCTTCGGATTTAGTGACAGATGTGAGCACACTTTCAGTGAAAGATGATAAAGGTAATTTTTTTATTTTGAAATTTTACGAACGCTATATATATATATATATTAGCGACAAACCTACTGGGTCAGAAAAATCGTTGTATGACGTGTTTGAAAAGTTCAAAAACGTGCTGTTTGTCCATGGTAATTGATTGAGCTGACTTATGTTAAAGCTTAACTTGAATATCCGGTGAAATATCGTCAGCGGAATCATAAAAAAATAGTAAAAACTTGTCATCGAATTGCAATTGTATGAACCAGAGCTGGAAAACTTGTGTTAAATAAATGAAAAACTTCACCCCACTATAGATAACTTCAAAGATAATTGTAAGCAAACTTTAGCTTTCCGTGCTATATATTAGTGATTTCAACCTTTGTTGGTCCGCGGAACACTTTCATGAATTTACTGCGGAATAGGAATTTGTTCAATGAGAATTGTTTTGCGCCTTCTCAAGCCGCAGCCCTGTGGCGGCGAGGATTCCAGCAATCCTCTTGCACATTGTCACATCAATCATGGGATACGAACCAGAGCCGGATATACCATTAGGCAAGGTAGGTTAAAGCCTAGGGGCGGGCCTCAGATATCTAGGGCATTGACAATCAATTCTGAACCATTATTCATTTTAAATCATTTTTAAATTGTAAAGGCTTGTTTCATAATAATGTCAGTTTAATACGTTATAGATCTCATACATTTTAGTCAAGTTAATAATTCCAAATATTTATTGATTAAACAAAAAAATTCAAATACGACTGAATAAATGATTTAGTATAACTTTGAGCGGTGAACGGGTGCCTAATCCAACTGCTTGTGGATTGTATTAGGCTGGAAATATGTTTCATGATTTTACTTGCCACCAGTGTTCCGCGGAACTCCGATTGAATATCACTGCTATATACTATCGCCAAAAGCAATAATCGCATTGGATATCGAATACTATTATATTTCGTCCATATGCTGGACCTAAAAGAATTGACAAAGTAACCTGTAACATTTCTTGTGGCCAATGAAATATGTATATTTTTTAAAACCTTTTATTTTTGTAAAACGGGTGGTAATAAATCGCCCTGTAACATTTCTACTCAGTCTATATCAGGGGTTCTCAACCTTTTTTATGTCACGTACCGCCCGAGGTACGAAACAATCAACGCGAACCCCCGTAATCAGGCATCGAACTAAGTTGTGATATATTGACTATCAATTTGTTGCAACAACAATTTATTGACCATATTGTAACTAAATTAAATATTCGCGTTGATATTATTGCCCTTGTCGTCTGCATAGCTAACGAGTTCTTAAAATCTCTCCCAAGTTTCAATATGCATAATCACTTTCTCCAACGCTCGCAGCACGCTGTCTTAGATATTTCAGTTTGCTTGCAAAGCCGTGAATTTCACATTGTTGCGTCACAATCACAACAACGCAAGAACATGGAAAATCTGCGTTTCAATTGGCACGCATTTTCCTCTGGTAGTTATAAAGGATAAACAGCATCACACGAAAACTCGACTGTCTTTCAAGTACCCCTGGAAATCTTCTCGTGAACCCCAGGTTGAGAACCCCTGGTCTATATAATGCTTAAATATAAGGCTGTTTTTACTAAAAAATTAAAAGGGGATGCAGTATTTTTATTGAAATTTAATTAATCACTCTTTCAGCCGGATTGTTGATATTTTGAATTGCTTTTTTATCAAAAAACCTTGACAATTATGACAATTATTGATAGATGCTCGTGGGCCATAGTGTTGGGCTCCGAGGGCCTCGAGTTTGACAGCGTACGTTGGTGGATATTTTACATATTCGATAAAAGAAATGATATAGTAATGCAGCGGTTCCCAGGGGGGGGGGGGGGTGAGAATTGTGTTAAACTTAACTGATATATGAATGAATATGTTACCTGAATTGAATACTGTATTTATTATAAATATTTTATTGTTTCTTATTTTAAATGCTGTGTCTATGAATAAATAAATTGATGTGCGCCGTGAGTTTTCCCTGATAATTTGGCGCCACACGAACATAAAGTTTGGGAACCGCTGTAGTAATGTAATGACACAAAACCACACATGGTTCTGCCAAACACGACTTGCTGATACCACTAAAGTATCGTAAGTTTTATAAATCCGTTGACATAATTTTAGCACTCACCTCAAGGATTAGGCCCTACTTGATTGTACAACATCAAATCGCGATGAGTTCCACACTGATTATACATTGTATTACAGCGGTGATCAAAAATAAGTACACTGACAAGAAGAAACTCACCAAGAAAAATATACTTAAATGTGATGCTGAGTCGACGCAGTCTCGGAAATCGAAAATGGTAAAGGATAAATCGGCATTGAAAAATACCTCAAATGATCACAATTTAAAATTGCTCAGCTCTGAAAAGGAATGTGAAATGGAGAATTCCGGTGTACATGAAGTTGCGAAAGAATTGCCTATTAAACACTTCATGGATAATGACATTGCTGCATCAGTCTGTGGTGTGAAAATTGGTTTCACTTTCAACAAAACGCTAAAAACTATCACCACCATGAATGAAGCTTTCATGGACAACGAAATTACTAATAACAAAAATGCCTCATGCACTCAAACAAATAACACATCCGAAACTTTTACTAGTAGCGATTGGAAAGTGACAGATTCCTATACCTGTGACAGTCCAGAAGGCGGAAAAAATGTTGAAACGGACTCTCATAAAAGTAGTCACAGCGAGAAGTCTATGGTACGAACTCCGGTTCGGACTTGTCGAGAATTATCTGAAAATAGCGAACAAATACCACCCGATCCACCTCGGAAGAGCAAATCTCCTAAACGCCAAACTGTCAAGCGAGAATGTGTTGAAAAGTTTCGTTCGGAAAGATCTGGTAAAAAGTCTGATAGGTCAGACCGAGATTCAAAAAAGTCTGCCAAGTCAGGTAAGGATGCAAACAGGTCATCTTACAAAGAAGAAATTCACAGTCCAAAAAAATCAACGTCCTACTCACGACATGAACACAAAAAGGAATTTTCCCGTGAAAGAGATTCAACCGAGGGACGAAAATGGAGAACATTTGAGAGATACGGAGGCTATGGGCAAAGTAATAACTATTATAGGAAGACACAGAGAATAGTGCAACGAACCCCACGATTTGCGCCCAACTATGCCAGATTACGGTTTGTGTACGATCCCAGTTTGTACTCGCCATTATCATCATCTGAAACCGATTTTGGAGACGAGGAAGAAGAAGAAGTAACTGAAGAAAAACCGAAGCACAAAGTTTTGCGAAGAAGGTCTTCCCGTGACAATTCCCGCTATCGATCACAAAACAGAAATAGTGGTTCTGCTGAGCGATCGTCTGATCGCAACTTCAAGTCCACCCGAAGTCCACCTCGAAGAATTCCTAATTGTGTTATAAGGCGAGAATTTAGTCCAGAGTCAGACAAAAAGAATGAAACAATACTTCCAGTTGGGGTACAAAATATAGATGCAGTTATACCATGTAATTCGAAGGATATTGAGAATCTTGTGACTGCTATCAGAAAGAAATGTGATAACGACGATTTTGCTTTTCTCAACCGCGAGCATAGTCGCCCATCTTTTAGGCAACGTCAATCACGAAATGTGAGGCGACCCCAACCACGAAGACGATCTCATTCTCCGTCATGCGCACCTGGATTTACACCGTCGCCCCCACGTCTCAGAAAAATGAAAAACTTTCGTCGCCGTTCTCTTTCCCCTGTTTCGCGGATAGAACGATCACCCTATTTTAAGTTGGAAACTGCTATGGCAGATATTGAATACATGAGAAACACTTTTCAGGATAATATACAGTATCCTACCACTGGACTGTATACAACTTCCCCTTTTACACCATTCAATTCAGTCAATGCATTTTCAGAGTTCGAACGAGTGTGGAATGTAGGCAAAGCAGGAAACAATGGTACAGACTCGCTTAACGTTGAACAACGTGAATCATATTTACCGCGTACCGCTGAAACAACTCGTTCTAAAATAGACAGACATTTCATAAACGGCGCTGTTAGTTTGTCCAGTGAGCTGAAGCGTTCTGATAATAGTCCGTTTACGCCAATTGCAAGTCAATTCAGTTTTAACGGCACACAACAGGCAGTACCCGTTTGTTCATTGTACTCATTTCAGCAGCGTGAGCAGACAGGAAGTTCTTTTCTGGTCGGAGAGTTTGAAAACATGCGAGTGCGTGAATTAACCGACTCGAATAAATATACAGATGGTGAAGTTATTATACTAAAAGGTGGTCATCGATATCTGGAAGACTCATCAGAGGAGATGTGGCCTTTTTTGACAGGCAATACTAATCAAGAGTCTTCGTTGGATGATAATTGTGATAGCGAAGTAGAAAATTTAATGTTCAGCAGACTTTCCGGACTTCGCAGAAAAAAAACTGAAGTGGTAAAGCGTAATGATTCCATGAAACCACAAACCAGCGAGTACGCAAATTCTTTAAAAGTAAGCGAAAAACAATCGATTGCCTCTCATTTGGTATCTACCTCTTGTAATGTTGAAACAGTATTAACAACACTGACTGAGTCGCAAGCAGTACAGCCTTCTATTGTTACCAGGAAGTACGGGGAAAATGGTGACTCAATTGACAGCCCACACATTGAACCGCGTACAAAAATTGATATAAGCGTTAATACGCTACCATCTGCAAAAATGACGGTGAGTGCGTCAGACACAATCACAGCACAAGGTACTGGAAATTCATTTAGTCGAAGTGTGTCTAGCAAAAATCCCACAACTTCAAGCGTTGCCGTTAACAGTTGTGTTCAAAAATCCGTCGTTCATGGAACTGCAGTCTCACCTAATGTTACCAATGCATTTGAGAAGGAAAGCAATATCAAGTCGCGCCTTAGTGACGTGAAGCCGCTGAAAGTTGTAGATAGTGCAGACAAGAAACCAAGCATAGAAGTAATACAGCAATCTGAATGTAAAATTAAAAAGAATGAAAATACTATAATATTGAATGATGCCAACGTAGCATGCCAGTCGACAGATACTGCAGATGTGCCTTCAAATAAAAAGGAAATATCAAATTCTGTGTTGTCGGATCAGTTAACGGTTAGCAATAGCCCAGTCGTTCCGAAAAAGATCCAATTGAAAAGGATGTTATTGGGAAGTGACGCGAAATCGTGGAAAAAACAAATGCTGCTGAAAGCCCAAAGTGTTCCGGTTAATGAGAGCGTGTTTATGTATAGTACTAATGTGTCAAAAAAATCAGAGAATAAATCGAATTTCTCCCAAAAGTCTTTTGGCGTCAACGAATGTCCTGTTTCCATGAAGGGAAATAGTTTTATGATAAAAAATATCTCCCAAGAATATGAACCTCAGATAACGAAAAACACTGCTGGGGAAATTATTACTGCAGAAAATCCCAATGTCTGTGATATACCTGATGAAGCCAAAGATTGTCAACAAATGACGAACAACCCTGTTTGTTCATCTGCAGGTGGTCTGGACCTCCGCCGAGAAAGTGAACCTCAAATATCGGAAAACGCTGTTGCGAAAATTGTTACTGCAGAAAAACAAAATGTCTGTGATATATCTGATGTAGCCAATGATTGCCAACAAATAGTAACGAACCCTATTTGTTCAACTACAAGTGGTTTGGACATTACAACTAGAAGCAGATATGAAAATCAATCTATGACACCAACAACGCCCGTTACCTCAGAAAGTAGTGAGAATTTATTAGTTCCTGCTACGAAAAATCCACAATTCAATCCTGCTTCCTCCATCGTCTCAGTTGTCGCAAAATCATTTGCCACTGTCTCCAAATCCTCAATCTCTTCATCAGCTGGCACAGATGGGGATTTAAGTAGTGCAAGGATATTTTCAAACGTTGGTCGATCGTCAGTTACAATTGTAAATGACTTAGTCACACCGATCGTTGAACCAAAAACTCCTACCGCCCTCGCTGCTAGGAGTACTTTCAGAGGACCACAGATAAGACAAATGAATACACCCATACCGAAATATCCTCCATCTGTTGAAACTTCAATTCAATCGAAAGCCGTTTCGAACAAACCTTATTTCAGGTCGTCGCGTCAACAAGTACCACAAGTTACATCGGACAATCGTCCCAGTATCTTCAAGCTCGCCTCTACCACCAGTGTCACTTCACCTAGTTACATTAGTACATCTCCTCCCATATCTGTAATCTGCTCAGTATCAAATCCTACAGTGTCTGCAGATGTACCGGTCTCGCCAGCTGTAATAAGTAGGATATCCTCTAAACAATCTTCGTCAGAATCACGGGAGATTCCACAACAAGCTGATGGTTTGTATTCTGCAGTGAAATATTCATCATACACTGGAGGTACGAATAATAACCAAATATCCAATCAGATGAGCACAAATCAAGTTAATCCAAAAACTGTGGCTCCGAAACCTTTGAAGTCAATTTTATACAAGCCACCAGTACCTGACGCCACAATACAAGCCGTAAAGCACCCAGAGAAGAAGAATGACTCACAGGAAAGTGTTTCTCTGAACACGTCTTGTACTGACTCGATAAAACAGTTTCCATCGGATACCATTCCAGATCGTAGAAATACATTTGAAGATCTGTTTCCAAAAACACACAATGGGTTGTTTCCGAAACGTAAGTTATCTAATAAAAATGCTAAATCTAACCAGAGGAAGCGTAGTTTTGGTACATCACTAAGGCAATCCCGGGGCCGTGGAGCGAAACGTGGAGGCGGCAGTCAGCGGGGAAGAAGAAAAAGAAGAAAGCGTTTACCTTCAATATCGTCTGACGAAGACATCATTGAGGAACTTAACGCTACTGCATGTTCATTCAAACCGAAAGCAGAGAGTCCGGTAGAAAATAGTGAATCGGCCGAATCCGGTGACGAGGACAGTGATGGCGGATTAGTTAGCTTCATGGAACAGTCTGAAGGCCAATTAGATGACTTCATGAGATTTGAGTTGAGAGAAGAACAGCGAAATAACAAAGAAAAAATATTTTGTCTGACAATCAGACCTTAACGGAAAATGAAAAAGCATTTAAATCTGGGTATACACGTTATGTTTCTTCAGGCAATTCCGAAGATCATGACGAAGAAGACATGATACCTTTGAGCCTAATAGCAAAACCTGGTAAAGAGATTGGAGATAACAAAAAAACAAATGCTGATCACAACGCTAATGACAACATATTTATCAAGATGTCAAGAGAGATTGCCGAGGAGAATAAGAAAAATTGTGCTGATTTTGATCCAGTTATCCACGAGCTATTGTATCCTCCATTTAATAAACCTCCGCACATGGTAAAAACTATGACCTCTCAAGATAAAAACGATTCCAACTTTATTAGAGAGCAAGATTCACGTAATAAAAAAAACGGAGACACTAGTATTGATGACAAAAAGAAAGTATCTCCAAGAAGTAACTTTTTTGAGAAGGTAGACATTCGTAGTTCCGCCACGTGCGATGATGATTCTCCCGCAAATGAAGATCTTAACAACCCAGAATCAGAAAAATCTGATGATGCTAAAAATAATAAAAATGAAATGGTATTAAACGTCTCTTCCACCGACAAAATGAAAAATGGCGCCGAAGATCAAACGCATCCAAGTAACATAAAGGAAACTTCCATTGGACAACACTGCACCGAGCGGGACCAAGCATCATCTTCTTTCTCCGAATCGAGTGATTTAACCAAAGGAAATTCGGATACTCCAAATGCTATTCCTTATGAAGCTCATCAAAATCCTGTTCAACCAATTCTTCCTACTCCTCCCACTTCTCCAAAATCTGTTAACTCGGATGATAAATCAGATAAAGCGACGGAAACTTCTTGTCAGCAGAATATTTCGTCTGGTTCTGACAAACCTATGCGAACGGAAAATGTTCAAGGTACAAGAAATTTGTGTGTTTTCTCATTCTTTTTTTTGTATTTGAAACGTCCATAAAAAATAGCATACAATAATTAACGATAAACAAGGACAAGTAAACAGTGTATAAAATTTACATACACAACAGTCAGACATACAATATTAAAAGATTAAAAGACATATTAAAAGATCGTGGAACGTTCAAATAGTCTCACATGTTATGTATTTCATTCTCAGTTAACCACCGTGCCACAGTTGTTAAATCGCCATCCCGCTGTACCGGAACCAAAGAATTAGTTACGGATCAATATCACCATGAAAGTTGGATTAATAGTAAGACATAATGTTTTCTTTTTTGTACATCATTTGTGTGTCAATCGTTCTTGACTTTGGTGTTCCGCAGATGTATAATCTTTATTATTGCCCGTTTAACTAGACAATGTGTGTTTATCTGGAAACTTAATCGAAGCCGCTGCAGAACTTGCCGGAGTGAAAACGCGGACTCTCATAGGTGAGTGTTTCCGTGTTCATTGTGCAAGTTTGAAAATAGTTCAAGGCAGCATAAAAAGTATGAAAGTGTCCCTCTTTCTTTCTAATTAAGCTGACAGTTTATTGGTCCATTTAATGATATGGATTCGCCGATTTCGAATGTACGAATTTTATATTTCCAGATTTATTAGTTCTTCTGTATATACAGGTGGAAACTTTTTACCGTCAAAACCCACTCCCCAGAGTGCAGTTGAATGTGCTGAACCAGTTACTCCAATAAGGCGTGGTGAGTTTAGATTAACGTATATTTACTCACTATGGAAGTTCATCTTGGCTATGGACGCTTCACTATCTCTACACATCGATGCTGCATAACCAAATTAGCATATGTCACATTTTGAGATTAAAAAAATTGCATTACTGTATTAGTTTGGTTCTAACAGCTATTCTTAAAATGAACATGGGGCAGTAAGTTATCTAAAATCCAAACGTAGAACAGCTTTGAAACCCAGACCAAAGACCTAGTCCATAATGGCATAATATCGAAAAAAGCATTTCTGAAGAATATGACGTAAGCTACTCTTTACTATGACTACTTTTAACTATGACGATCTTTAGTGTGAATCGTGTGTTGGGATAATCATACCGACGTTGCAGATTGGACATCATTAGTTCGAACCCTAATCAGTTGAATCAATATTCAACACAATCCCAACTTCTCGCATATAGCATGTGCCTTATATAAGTAACAGCTACAATGCCTACATATAATCGGCAGTCATTATCCCTAATCTGTTGTTCCATTTTCTCTACCTGGCTTCTTTAATTTAGATTCCAATGACCAGTTGGAAAATATACAACTTCACATTTCACCCATCAACACATTGAACGAAACGTTTACCAGCTGGCATATGCCCGAAGCTGAGAGTTGTCACGGATTTCTCGAAGTATGCATGTCTGTACATTCAAATAGTGTATATGCTCTACGTCGCATCCCGTATGTCAAAACAACGACTATTGTGACAGAATCGACGAGTTCGGGTGCCAACACCATGTTTGTTAGAGGTCAACCCAGTTTCTTGGGGGCGAATGAAGCAGGAATGGAGTTACCTACATCAAGCGCCTGTGCTACTTATATTCGCCTTCGAGATATTATTTCATTGCTGAAAATCCATTACGAAGCATTGTATTCCCTTGTAGTTCGATGTGATGCAGGGATGTTTTGGCCTAATGCTTATGCACAGAAGCTATTTTCTTTCGTCTACGATCCGGTATGTGACACTGACGGGAACATGGCGAAAATGACATTGAGAAATGTCCGCAGTACTAAAGCTCAACATTTTTTGGGTCACATGATTATATTGGACAAGTTCTTGCATTGTATTTTGCCGGTATGTATCTTAACAACTTAACGTACTTAATGACATAATACTTTGACAAAGTTGTATGCATTAGGCTCATAACTAAGCATGATTAAATATTTACGAGCGTTTTAAATCATATTTATTATTTACAATCAGTAAAAGTCATTGTACACAAATTACGAAAAAGGAGTAAGATGTTAGAGTAAGATAAGTGTTTTTTATTTCAAGACGCTTAACCACGTATTTCGCTCCAAACGATGCCCTATTCATGCAGCCACTGATATATTTTAACAAAAATAATAACCTTACCGGTTTGGTATTGCCTACCCACTTTATTACGCAATAGGTAAAGTGGGGACATAGTTTATTTTTTGCAATCATTCAAAATCAATCGTACACAAATAACGAGAAAAGAGTAACCACGCCGTTTATTCATGCCTTTCGCTTCGAACAGGCTCACTGTTACCCAACGAGCTACTATTATCTGCGAGAGCTAGAAACTTTCCGGATCGGTACTCCCTACCCAATATATTAAACGCTGGATGAGGTAGAGGCACGGGATCGAACCGAGGTGTGTAATCTTCGATGCCAGCACCGTCAAGTCGAAGACTTAACCGCTAGGCCATTCGCAGGAAACCAAGGCCGCTGTTAGTTTTTGTTGGTTAAATTTTTTGATAAAAACCCTAGTTGTGACCAGTGGACGACTTTTTCTTAAAATTATGCTAAAGTCTAAACTATAAGTTAAATAGATAAAAATCTTAAGTCCGAAACGTAGGATGTATCGATAAAATCTGACAAAACTATTATAAAACTTCTCCATCATCAAATTGATTTTCTCTGCGTGTTTTTAGAAATTTTACCATGAAGGTTTGGGAGTTCTTTCTTGTGATGTTCCGAAATACGTCAACGTCAAGATTTTTAAACCGATTTCTGATATCGACAAAGAAGTGATAAAGGTATGCAAATGAAATTTTATGCAAGCTTTATGACATACATTGTGGTTTTTAAAATAACCCTTCCTTTTTGTATTTATCAATTTGAATTTATTAAGCCTGACTCTCATGTAACAGTATATTCGTTGCTTCATTCCTCTAACAATGACTTTGCTTTCAGATTTTTCAGAAACCGTACGAATACAACTCGGTGTTGCGTGGTAAGGACGACAGAATCAAATGCAAGGTTATGGAGAAACTCAAATTACCACCAGATTGTAACAAGAATCGAAAGAGATCTGCAAGCAATGATTCCACGGATTCTGTTAAAAGAAGAAAATCGTGTACTCCGGGCCTAGTGGGTCAAGTAACCTCCGGGACCGTACCGCGTGTTTCTACTTTTGCTTTCAGCCAGCCTGTTGCTTGCACAACTTCAAATTCCATAAGACCCTACTGCCAAGTAAACGTAACAAATCTTGCTATCATTAATGCTAACGTAGTACAAACCCAGTCATCTAATATATTTTCTCAAAACAAGATGTATGGTAACGGTGTGAACAGACCTGCCCAAGAGACGTTTCCTGGTGCTGTGAATACAAGACCTTGGTTTTCTCCTCAATTCCATCCTACATTTACTTGTCAGTCACAATCCTCAAAGAATATTGGTACGAATACTTGTTATGCACAAACTCTTCCAAAGCTGGTTCAATCTGAAGATCTGACTTCCTCGTCATTGGTGATGCCAACGCCAGTTACCAATCTGAACCAGTTTAACAGGCTTCCTCAATTTTCGAAGGCCTTTTTACGGCCGAGTGTATTTTGCAAATCAGTGGAACATCCTGTGTTATCATCTACTATCGAGGGTACTCATGAAAAGCCTAGAATGGCTAATGCCATGGGAAACTTCAATGTTACTTCGGAACGTGTAGCACATCGAGTCGCACCTACGACAGCTACGTCTTCTTCACCGGATCCAGAATTTGCATTAACTTCCATCTTCAGTATGAATGATCAGAGACGAGGTTTAACGAAAAGTACATATGCTGTAGGTGGCGCAGAAACTCGAGTTACACCATCCAACTTGTTGACCACAAAGGAATTCTTATTGAATGCGTCAAAAGTGATAAGCGTGCAGAATACGACTAACAAAGACGAAGGTATGATTATTTTTATTCATAACTTTTTTCTCGCCATTTAAAAGTGAATTTACTTATATAGTGCATGGTTAAGCATACTAATATAAACACATATTTTTGTCTTTGGTATTTTAGGGACTTTTCGTTCTATTTATTATATCGTCAATCCTGGTGTGCTGTACCTGTGTCTACAGTTTTTCTTTAATTTTTTGGGCTACTTTTTGTTATCTACTGTAATTTTTAATTTTGACTTGGCGTTTTGCTTTGTACTGGCAATTTGGTTATCTTATTAGATACCTATATGTCTCTGCCTGTGATTCTTCAGTACTTGGTGTTATTATTTATCTGTGTATATAGGTGAAACGGGACTGGTTCAGAAATTGCGAAGTCGAAACACTTTGCTAAAATCCGGACTATCTGAAGCCGGGGATGTTATATCAGAACCTACTGACACAGCCGGTAAAAATTGCGTGCTAATCGCATTTCTTGCATCTCATCTTTATCTTATTCCCTCATTAATCTTTACCATAACGCTGGAAATGTTGATTTAACCATGTTGAATTTCACGTTGATTTAAGATTTCTTGTGTTGCGCATGGCCATATATATATTTTACACGGTATCAAGAAACACTTCAAAGTTTTTTCTTTCATAACTTTTTATTTTAAATTCATTTGTGTCTGCTTGTCCCATAATTCCAAACTAAGGGATTTCTGCTAAGTTTGTGCCCATAACAAAACAGTCCTAATGCTAATCGCTTTTCATTTAGTTAACTTTATTTCTGAAGCTTGCCTACTTACAATGTCAAACGATAGGGTACCCGTGTTGTTCTACGTGTGAAATTCAAGTAATATGTTTCGCAGAAAGTTTCAAAAGAGCGGTGATTCGAATTATAATAATCAAACAAATTTTCAAGAACGAAAAGTATGGAACGAGAAGAGAGTTCTAATTTGGAATTTTTTCTGAAATGTGAATAAAATTAGATCGATATGAATAATGACTAATAAGAAAAAATCTATTAACATCCACAGTATTCAAATTTATTTAATATTGTCACGTACGCGCGGTAACTAAACATGGCGGATTTTTTTTTTTTTTTTTATCTATGTGGCTTAAAACTAAAGAAATTCTCCCAACTGTGGGTGGATCGCGTGCTTGTTCTGTAAATCAAAATGTCGTGAACTACTTCTTCAATTTTATAATCAACTGATATGTAACATCAAGGCATTATGTTAGTATTCCATATTTCCAATTATACCTCAACGAAACATAATACATCAAACGCTACTGTACTGTTCTACAAGAAGAGGAACTCCTGAAATATGCGCACCAAGATGGCGCACAAGCTGAATTCAGGTTGTGTACCAGGTTAGGGTTCAGGTTATGCGACATCTTGGTGCGCATACTTCAGGAGCACCCAAGAAGAAGATAACTGAATAACTGCATTCATATTTTTTGGAGACTTTATGTTAAAATATAGAATCAGAATTAGGTTGTAATGAACATGCAGCCGATGGTGATTTTTGTTCTAAATAACAAAGCAAAAACCCGCGTTTCAACGTGATTAATTGTATTGAATCTTTTAGTCGCGCTAGTTTTTAGTTTTTTTTTTCATTTTATAGCTAAAAGACCTGGATCATAGCAGAAACTTAGTCACCGAGGTTCCGGTTAAATTTACGTGTCTTATTTGTGATTGTAGAGTTAAATATTATGTTTTGTTTGATGGTAAAATCTACCTATTTCGTTTTATCAAAACAATACTACAAATAAGCGAGTTCTTTGTGGGATATTGTTTTGGAAATGGCATAAATCGCCGAATAGTATAGTTCTATCAACAATTGATCTGCCTTTACAGTACTGTTAAACATGCTTGATACAGCGTCATATATTTAACAGACACAGCAAATCAGATTTCGATTGCTACCGCAAGCGAGATCACATTGCCAACTTCTGAAACAAACAACATTGGTAATATTCTTGAATGAAAGTTAATTAACTCTGCAGTCGTAATTGAATATCTGGTGCTGGTAGAAAACTGTTAATATTTGTTTGTCGTTTCATTAGTATTGTAATTGTTGTCATTAGTTGTAGATTCTGTAGAAGTTTTTTTTTTATTCATTTTAATTAATAATGGGACGCAAACATACGCCTCTGATTTTTCTGTTTTTCTGCTTTTTTATTGAGAATCAAGCTTTCCTTTGTCGTAGTCTGGAAGCAAGACTGCACGTAATCTTTAATAATATATGCTTTTCTGCTATCGCTGCCTCTTCTACCAGTTTGCTGATATAATGAGACTATGCGCTTATTGTCAACGAATGTAATGGACTCAATCTTAACATAAAATGCATGTCAGATAAATTCGAGTTTGTTAAAATCAGCATTTTTTCACTTTCCCGCTATTTATTGAAGCCACGAGGGTCATGTTCTCAGTGTAAATATAGCCTGAACTTCGTGATTCATTGCATGCAACATACTCGATGGTAATTCGTAGATTTTAATTTATTTCTAATAGGTTTGCAACAATTTTTTCCAGGCGTTCCATGTTTGTTCACCTATCTATTGGATAATTAGAAACTTTATTTAATAATCATTTAATTTATGTTATGTAAAATCAAACTTTACATTTATTCATCGAAGTAGGTCCGTTATGGATTTTTCAGCATACATTTTTACATCTCCTATATATTATATTTGCTCTTATGAAATTCTATATATTTTATATAAAATTTTCATATATATAATATGTTTATTTTAATAGGTATTTCAAATTGCCTCACTAAACTAGGTCTTTTCCGAGAGCCACACCATGTAATATTTACCTATGTTTGAAAGAACTGCAATATTTCCTGTTTGGTATGTTTCATATCTAGTTTAATACAACTTGGTGGGCTGACTGGCATGGGGATTGAACCCGAGATATTAATCTTCAACGCCTACATAATTAAGTCCAACGCGTCAACCACGAGGCAACTTGAATATCACCGAGAAGATAAAACCGAACCAACATATTGTTTAAAATGCATTACTGGACTCTTCCTGAATTTTTAGAATCTACGGCGACCGATGTTTACAGTATTTCATCACCGTCCGATACACTACAATTAACTGGAGAAGCCATCAGCCGGCGAGGAAGGAAGAAGTTATTGGAAATAATGACGGCAGATGCAGGTTTGCTTCATACTAAACCGGTGGATTTCTCAAAAATTATGAACTCGTGTCCAATCTCATAACTTTTGCTGCATTTTAATATTTCTGTGCAGAATAGATATATATATATAAATCTCGCGATACATCTGATGTAAATTGGATTTACCTTCCAAAATTTCCACAAGCTCAAAATACTGGTATCCTAAGCAGTATCTACTGGGGCTGGGTCAGTTGTTATACAACATGCGTTATTATTAAAACATATAAAAGTATGAATTGTGTCACTTAGTTGTTTTTGATAATGCTATAATATTTCTCCTAGAATTAGATTATCAGATATAAATATATATACATTGACAATCATGGTATTGTTACTAACAAAATTTTCAAATAAATAGACACCACGGTAAAGATTGGAAATGATAGTCTACTTTCTGAATCTGGTTCAAAACCAGCCGCAGTTTACCTCTACTGAATTTACATTATTTATCTTAAAGATGTCATTTTCAAGTATTTTTCATACATATCAGATTCAGAATCTGGACACTTGTCGGGAGTTGTCAGCAAATTAAAGTCCAGAGTAGAAGAGAAGGTTACTGACGCCAAACTAAAGCAGAAAAGAAAGGGTGTGAAGCAAAAAAGAAAAAAGTGAAATGACGAACCAAAAATAAAACACCATAAATAAATTATTTGGTACTTGACAGTATTTATGATTTTGTGATCGCCTAATTGTGTTATATAAGATATTTCCTATCGGAATATCAGCATTTATTGATTTGAAAGCATGTGAACATCGTAATTAGCTATTGGCCCCAATCTGCGTATAAAGTAGCCTATGTCGCTTATAGATTGTTCTACTTACGTGTGTTTATAATTTTGTTTTGAAGTGTTCTAAAATTATCGTGTGAACTATTTAGATCTTATTTTTCGTAAATCGAGCCTTGCTTGCATTTTGTCTTTATTTATTTTTTGCTAAAATCAAATTTTCAACAAGAGATTTCAGTATAAGACTTGTCACTCCGTAATATGCATATCAATAAAATCTAGGACAGAACTATTAATGGGAGACGATATACCATGTATTAAATGCGATAATATAGGTGTGTGATTACACACATCTGATTTGTTTGGTGCTTTTGCTGATTTATTGCAAGTATTTCGGAGTATGCCTGCTCAGACTTGTTGGAGTTCAATTTCTACTGTTTCTTTCCCATATTTTCGGCGATTCTTTTCGTATATGCAACTTCAAATAAAATGCAAAGTTTCGTAAAAATCTCAATGCTGACTTTCTTGGCAAGTCGTCTTAATTCACAACTGAGCAAACATTGCATTGAATTCTGTCCTTATTTAGATGTTGGTGCTTGTAAGGTTTTGAATTGGTTCGGGTAACCACTTGTAAAAGTCAGCTCCTAATACCCGAGCAATACATTTGAAACTAAACTAATTATCTCGATCGATTCGAACCGGTAACCGGAGGATATGCGTGGTTCGTCATGTGATTTCAACGTAACTATATACTACTACATTTAGGCATGCTCTCGGTCTCTCCCAAAATTAATATGAAAATTCTTTTTATATCGCAAGAGCAAATGCTACTAAATGATTTTAGTTAAGTTATTGGCGTTAAAGTAAGGAAGAAGAAATTGTTAGTTTGCAGTAAGGTGAATGTCTCGTTCTATTCTTCCATAAATATGTTAGATGGGCCGATTGGAAATATGAGCTCCCCCGAAATTGCTATTTGTTTTGGAACCTTCAAAGAGCAGCCATATGTAGTCTCACTATGAAGGAACCTAACTTTAGTACAGCTACCGTTACATTTGATGCGAAACTTGTATTCAACTTTATTCCATTAAGTATTTTTTTCGCTAAAGGTCGTGCAATGGAGGCGCAGTTCTTACCACTTCATGGCAGCTCCTGCCACAAAAGAACCGCGGTAGCTCTTGCCATGGTTTTATAGCGCTATTCCGTAATCAGTATTAACGGTATATTCACAAATTAATGTGCCAGATATTAATTGATCATGTGGAATTATATCTACTTGAACCCTAACCCCAAATCCATCAAAACTGTATTACGACCCACCTACCGTGGTTACGGCAGCAAAATTTTATCTGCCATTGGTTTTCAATTTGCTGCCGCGGTAACGGCAGCTCGTCATTGGTTTGTGCCTTGTGGCAGCTAAAAAGTCAGTCGCCATAGGTTTGGCCCATTGAGTGTTAGGTTTGGCCCATTGAGTGTTACACTGGTTACACCCATTGAGGTTACACCTCAATTGTTTGGCCGTAGCGGCCATGGTATGGAAACACCGCCATGGTTTTGCGGCAGCTGCAGACGCCACAGAACACTCAAAACTGCACTTAGTGCAATGGGAAAATAGTGTTTTCAATCAAGTCGTTGCTCGTGCTGTACCATCGGTGTTGATGTCTGGTCGCGAAATTGATAAAATAAAAACGTGTTATTATCAGGGATTGTGATTTAGTGGTTAATGTTCAAGGAGCAGGTGAGACAGCATTCGTTTTCATATTCCTGTATTCAATACCGGTACGGTACTAAGGTATGCACAGATAGTTTTATACAGTTATAGTTATGAACCAACTGAATTGTTATTAAACAATTTGAATTGATTTTCAAAATCAATCTGAGAATCTTGTTTTAAATTGAAAAAGGTGGTCTACATCTCAACCGAACAAAGTACTCTAATAGGTACTGTATTACTGTATTACAGGTATTACTGTATTAAGCATATTGGTATAGTGGGATTTCTGCGGTTGAGTATAACTAGTTTGCCAAAATACATGTTTTAAATGTATTAGCTGAATAGTCTGTCTGAATATAGTGTGAAGCAGTGCGTTTCAAACTATTCATCACGACCCACTTGGTAGGCCAAAAATAATAAAATTGGTAACACCTTTACATCGTTTAATTAGTCGATGTGTTTGCATCCCTATTCTCGCATGATGGTGGTCTCAGTAACGTACCTTTTCCAAATCTTTTAAATTTGATCGATATTTTGGTTTAACATAAGTTAGTATCGAAAAAGATTTTACAGCAACTCCCATTGACCCACTATGGACGTGGGGTCGGAATCCCCTCCATAAAAAAAGGATACCATAACTGTTTTAGTATTTGACATAGAACAGGCAAAAGTATATGTTTTGTTCCAGCATAATATTCATGATCAAAGAACGTATGGTATGTATGATTAGCGCTTCTCAGAGTTTCAATCCACGTTTTGAAGTAAGCCACTCTTCGTGTTAACGAATACTATTATCCAGTGGTATGAGTGATATTGTATGATCAAAATTCTCATTTAGTTGGTAGTACACACACAGTACACTTTATATATTAATATATCATATATGGCAGTGGTTCCCAAAGGGTGCGACGAGTTGCTAAGTGTGCTGCAAAATTTAACTGAATTGTGTTAGACATAACTAAAATAGGATTGAATTTTGTACATATTGTATTTATTATAAATGTTTTATTGTTTCTTATTTTAAATGCTGTGTATATGAATCAATAAATTCATATTACATTTCTATGTCATTTATACTTTCTGTTTTGTGATTAAAATAACTTAGTTGAACCCTGAAAGAGGTTCTTTGACTTGATCTTCAAATTATGATAAAATAAATAATTGAAATCCAATTAACTGCATGTTTTAAAAATTTATTTTCAGAAAAATTTTCAGGGTATGCCTCCCACAAATTTACAACGTTGTAATTACTCTTTATCTTCTGGTGTATTGGTTGTCAGTTGTGCATTCCTTATATTTAAGAATGCGTGCACACGACCTCACTTTGAAAACCTTGTCTAATGTATTTATATATGTTGAGTTGATCAGTTAAGTATATCACTGTTGCTGTTAGGACAAAAAGTATTGTTTTCTTTTTGCAACTGGACAAATCTCTTCCATAGTAGATAAACATGGAAAGTATCTGAGAAAGCGTTTTATGTTTTGTTATTTAATTGTTTCTCCACTACTTGGGCTCATTATTTGAATCTATATCTGGATGCTTTTGAATCGCCCCAGTGTGTGAGTTTCAAGATGAGCAATTTCATAGCAGATATATTTTCAACGTGATTCCACAAACTCATATCATTATTATCTCATATGTTATCAAGTCAACTTTGTCACATGTATAACCGAAATCATCATAGGGCATATCCAGCTGACGATCTTTTATTCAGTTGAGATAGAAATTTTTTCACAGTTTATGTGAATTATCTTTGTATTATACAAAAGTCTAATTTTTCTAGATAATGTTCATTCTCCTGCTAAGGAAGTGTTTCACATATGGCGAACTGTCCAGATGCTGGTTTCGTAGTCAGTTGTGCTTTTGAAGAATGAAAATCTGAGAAGGTGGCTAGAGTTGTTTGTTTAAAAACGTTCATATACTAGCGTTACAGCCTCAAGATTAAACTAGAACATTTTTTTTGTTTTCTCAGAATTTATTAGTGACTATACATGCTCCAAGCTTTGTTCAATTATTTTATGGGTTTAAATCATGTTCATTATGTACAGGACACTTCTCATGGGATGGTTCCATAACCACTGTCTAGCTGATTACCCATACCATAGAACAGGGTGGTCCAAGGTTGTCGGCTCCGCGGGCCACAAATTAATTTTTTCATTGTTCGCGGGCCACAATAGTGCCAAGAATAGGTAAACAGTGCAATACAGAACAAACACTTTTATTGTGCAAACACATAGTTATCAGACATAGCCATCCCGGGCTAATAAAATCCGCATTCGATTTTTAGTTTTCTATGATGTCTATATTGTAAGCATATATTCCTGACCTAAAAAAAAGAAAGCCAGATAATAATTTAGACTGCCAAGCACATCATCCAACTTTGCTATTTGCCTCAGCTAGCCATAACACTAGTCAATTCAGTGACATTAGTGATGTAACAATAGGTCAAAAGATTTTTCTGATTAATTCGATTACGAAACAGCACGAAATGCGATTCATTGATTACTCTTCGAATGTGACGCGGGCCACAGATAATGAAGCGGCGGGCCACATGTGGCCCGCGGGCCTGGGTTTGAACCACCCTGCCATAGAATTTCCACTCCTATCAAGATTTATATAAAAACTCATCTCATGTAGTTTTAAATAAGAATAACATAATCTCTTTCCACCAAATAGTAAGAATATTTGTAAACTTCCCTCAGATCACAATCTAACTTCTTCAGACAAAACAATATTTAACTTAATCAAATAGCAAATGTTCAAACTATGCAAATTTTATTTAATTATTTGGCTTGCAAATGCGAGTGTAAAGAGTATGTATGTTTGTTTTATGTAGTGCGATATTGATTGCATCCGCATGTCCCAACCTAAAAATTGTTGCTATTTGGTACATATTAACTGTCAAACTTATTCTGGGCACTGTTGGCGCCGTGGAGCTGTGTATATAACGTACATTTGATATCGCGTTCACATTTCCTCCGCCAATACCTTTCAGTTGACAAATCTAAATGACGTCACGCGCCATTAAATCTTACTTTCCGATGTCTTAGTTTTGGATTGAACGGGAGAATTTTGATCACGTTCCTCATACCTGGCGTTGGTGACCGTGTTTAGTCTTTTGTTCTGCAGACGACCATGACGGAAATTAACTTGTACAACCTATTTTATGCATAATCCGCTGTATGAAACCCATTTATGAATAAACTAAAGACCAAAGGGCGGCAGACGTCCACAGTTTCTAAGCCGATTATTTACTTGGGTAGGAATCTTTTACGCACGGAAATCAGTAGGACATGCTTGATTCGACTCCCACTTTTCATTTGACTTTCAATTAGAAATCAGGGAGTCACCTTGCCAATAAGTACAACATCAATCCACGCCACTGGCCATGCTCGGCTTTGTACACAGATCCCGTTTACATCTCAACAGTGGTTAATTATCGCAATACGATCCGTAAATACTAATATGTCTCCACCTATTCCAAATATATTAAAGAAGATTTGCTGATAATTTTAGGACAATCTATATTTTATGACTAAAAATATAGAAATTCTGCGGCAAATGCGTTCCATCGTTTTTTACGTCAATTCATACCCCTATGTTTACTTCGTGTCAATATGCGCACCTTGCGTGACACATACGTAGGCTTGCCACTTCAAATATGATCGCCTGAGGCGGAGGTTAGTGTTCATTTATTAAAGTTCAAAACAAAATAGTCCCTTAATTTAGCTTTGGATAGTTTGGCTGTTTTTTATTGAATGTATTAATAAACTATTTATTCTGACTAATGTGGTTTTATTTATGATGTCCGAATCG